TTATGCTGGCCTATAAAACATCTCTATAAAGATTTGTAATTATGTCAGAAAGTGAGAAAGTTCAGACACCAAGGCCCCTCCTGGTTAGCTCTATCCTTAGCACATTTTAGCAATAGCTCATTGTAATGAGCTATTGCTAAATGAGCAATAGCTCATTGTAATGCTGTAGAGCAAAATTAAGTTGAATTTTTATGGTGTGCCCATTTGGCACAAAATGCATGGTTTGAACAGCCACTACATGTGGTCAAGCTAAGATAAGTAGCTCTTGTGCTTATTGCTTATATTTAGTCGACTTCCTCGATGGTTGGGCCAGAGGAGGAACCAGCTCCGGCTCCACCCGGCATTCCTCCTGGCATTCCTCCTGGCATTCCTCCTGGCATTCCTCCTGGCATGCCCCCCTGGTACAGCTTAGAGATTATGGGGTTGCAAATCTTCTCCAGCTCTTTCTGCTGGTGCTCATACTCTTCCTTCTCAGCTGTCTGAGTAAAGAAAAAGAAGCAGATAAATGTGATGTAAGAGCTGGAACTGTGTAAAAACTAAATAAGGAAGTGGAAAGATGTCTATCTATCACAGTTTCTCTGCTACACATCTGTGATTTCACAACTTTTTCAAACATGAAGATCTTGCGTTTGGATTTTAATGAAAGGCTTTTTAATTCGCGGATATCTCACCTGGTTCCTGTCCAGCCAGGCGATTACTTCATTACACTTGTCTATGATAGTCTTTTTGTCCTCGGGACTGATCTTGTCCTGGAGCTTCTCGTCCTCCACTGTGCTCTTCATGTTGAAGGCAAGGGACTCGAGAGAGTTTTTGGCAGTGATCTTGTCTCTCTGGGCCTCATCTTCAGACCTGAACTGTTCTGCTTCCTGCACCATGCGCTCAATGTCTTCCTTGCTCAGTCGACCTGAGGAAGAATGAAACGTAAAGCTTGCTTCAGTCACTTTACAACCTTCTCTGATGAACAATCTTTGCCCTGTAACATGTGGTCCAACCTTTGTCATTGGTGATGGTGATCTTGTTCTCCTTTCCGGTGCTTTTGTCGACTGCCGAGACGTTGAGAATGCCGTTGGCATCAATGTCAAAGGTCACCTCGATCTGAGGGACTCCTCTGGGAGCAGGCGGGATACCAGTCAATTCAAATTTCCCCAAGATATTGTTATCTTTGGTCATGGCTCTTTCCCCTTCGTAAACCTAAAACAGGGTATCGATGTTAAGTTTATTGGCTCAATGAACATTTTCAACACTAAGGCACAGTGCAATTAAAAAGGATTTTATCCCCTTACAGATTTATCCTGTTCTTGCTGTTTTTCACACTTGAGTTCTTCAAACAATCAAAGTAATTTTAATATCAAACAAAGTTAACACAAATTAATTCATAATGGAGTTTCAAAGCAAACAGATCAAGCCTCATTATTTCAATTGGGTTAGAGTCTAGGCTTTCGCTTGGACAGTCTAAAATCAATTTTAGTCGATTCAGAGGTGGAGTTCCTGGTGTGGTTTGGATTATTTTTACTACTTGTATGTATACAACTATAAGTTATGATAAAAGTGCAGGAGTTCAAGGTCTCAAACTAATTAGCCAGACAGTCTCACTCTGGATTTTATTGTTTCTTAAATAATGGCAAGTTGTGCAGATGCATCAAATTCCACTGGTCTGGCAGTAATCAGACCTGGGTCAAATTGAACTTTTTTAAAAAAAATATAGTTAATAATTTAATTACATAATTCAATTGTTACTTTTGACATAGGGCTGGTTTGGATAGGTTTTTTTCTGGTTGAAACCTGTTTTTGTGAACTTTGGTTGATATTTGCCTGACCTGAAGTAGAGAAAAAGGTTGAAACAGCAGAAAGTTGTGAGGGGAGGTAAATAACTTTTCATAGTACTGTATAATATGGGGTATTGTTTGTAAAGTTACACAGTCACAAATTAAAAATAATAATTAACATGCCATAAAAGAAAAAAATGGCGCTTCATTTTCCTAATTGATATTTCCACCATGTTATTTCTGTCATTACCAAATATTTATGTTGGCGCTAAATAGTTTTACATTCTAAACTAAACATTTAGCTTGTTAACTAAATGTTTAGTTTGGAGCCAAATATTTAAATTTGAGATAAATATTTAATTGGCACACACGATATTTAGCTTGCTAATCAAATATTTAGTTTGACATTATTTATAAATGAATGACTGAGACAGTGAAAATCTGACTGAAAAGTAAACCCTTATTTTAATCTTATGTCTTGCTAAATAACCCAGATTATTCCTGTTAATGTTTCACCGTCTAATCTCCCAAAAGTCACCCAAAAGCATGAGGTGTGAACTTTTCTGTGCAGAATGTGCTACCTGAATGAGGACACCAGGTTGGTTGTCGGAGTAGGTGGTGAAGGTTTGGGTTTGTTTAGTTGGAATAGTGGTGTTCCTTTTGATAAGGACCGTCATCACTCCTCCAGCCGTTTCAATTCCAAGGGACAGGGGTGTGACGTCCAGCAGGAGCAGGTCCTGCACATTCTCAGACTTATCGCCAGCCAGGATGGCAGCCTGTACAGCTGTGGGGTTTCCGAATAATGACGTCATTATTACAGGAAAGTTTTTATCTGCACCTTCTTCTAGGCATACAGGAGTAAATTCTGCGGAGACCTACCTGCCCCGTACGCAACCGCCTCATCCGGGTTGATGCTCTTGTTCAAGTCGCGCCCGTTGAAGAAGTCCTGCAAAAGCTTTTGGATCTTCGGAATACGCGTGGAGCCGCCCACGAGAACAATATCATGGATCTGGCTCTTATCCATCTTGGCGTCCCTCAGGGCCTTCTCCACGGGCTCGAGGGTTCCTCGGAACAGGTCCGCGTTGAGTTCTTCGAAGCGAGCCCTGGTGATGGAAGTGTAGAAGTCTGTTCCCTCGTAGAGCGAGTCGATCTCAATGCTGGCCTGGGTGCTGCTGGAGAGGGTGCGCTTAGCTCGCTCGCACGCTGTACGCAGACGGCGCACGGCCCGCTTGTTGTTGATGATGTCCTTTTTGAACTTACGCTTGAACTCGGCAATAAAGTGGTTGACCATGCGGTTGTCAAAGTCCTCCCCACCCAAGTGGGTGTCCCCCGCTGTGGCCTTGACCTCAAAGATGCCGTCCTCAATTGTCAAGACTGACACGTCAAAAGTACCGCCACCGAGGTCGAATATGAGAACATTACGCTCACCCCCAACCTAAAGTAAATAGAAGGAAATTATAAAAGCGACATAAAAGCAAGAGGTCAAAATTTTAGCCATTGGATTGATGGTCACCTTTTTGTCCAAGCCGTATGCAATGGCTGCGGCTGTGGGTTCATTGATAATGCGAAGCACATTGAGGCCGGAGATGGTACCGGCGTCTTTGGTGGCTTGACGCTGGGAGTCATTGAAGTAAGCAGGAACTGTGATAACTGCATTGTTCACAGGCTGAAATGATGGAAATAATTTCATTTAATGAAAATATATGTCTCATTATAAGTCTTGGTTCAGGAAATTTATTTTTCAGCATCATAAGCAGCATACCTTGCCAAGGTAAGCTTCAGAAATCTCCTTCATTTTGGTGAGAACCATGGAGGAAATCTCCTCGGGGTAGAAGGACTTGATCTCCCCCTTGTATTCAACCTCCATCTTTGGTTTGGAGGAATCATTTATAACCTTGAAGGGCCAGTGTTTCATGTCCGATTGCACCACGGCGTCGTCAAACTTGCGACCAATCAGACGCTTGGCATCTGTAGTTAATTCAGCAACAACGAAAAGAAAGTTTCGCTGTATGTACAGACATTTTGCATTTTAATATGAACTGATGTTAAAAAAAATGAGAAAAGAAACAGATGGAGAAGTGAAATCCTAATTTGTATGATTGTTTCTGACTGTGCAGTCTTGCAGTGTTTTTACCAAATACGGTGTTGGCTGGATTCATGGCCACCTGGTTCTTGGCAGCATCTCCAATAAGCCTCTCTGTGTCAGTGAAGGCCACATAGCTTGGGGTGGTTCTGTTCCCTTGGTCATTGGCAATGATCTCCACTTTGCCATGCTGGAAGATACCCACACATGAATAAGTGGTGCCCAGATCAATGCCTACTGCTGGTCCTTTAGACATCTTCAAAAGACAAACAAAGAGACTTTTAATATTTCAGCACATTTACACTGGCAGTTCCATCTCAAATCAGTGCATTCGGTGTTTATCACACCAACGTCTTTATAAGTCCTTCTGCTTAAGCCTCATAAATTGTTGTAATATCACTGAGAACTCTGTGCATCCACAAGAAACCAGATGTTTTTCAAAAGTAACTTTACAGGCTTGTTAAAGGTCTCATATCCAATCCAGTCAATCCAATCTAGCTCTATTAAGAAAGAACTTTAAATTTCCAGAGGAACTAAATTGCTGGACAGAATACATAAAAAAAAAAAAGTAAAATCTTAAAATGCCAAAATAAAGACACAAATATAGAATACAAAAATAGAAAATACGTTTAAAATATTACCAGCCGTGCAATAAAAGGCTTATAAAATAAGCAGAAACTCAGATCGACATATCATGTGGTGTCAAAGGCCAACGCGAAGAAATTAGCTCGTGATTTAAAAGCAGGCAGTGATGCAGTCACTGCCTGCCACAGCAAAGGCCTCATTTTTGTGTTAGGCGTACTGAGGAGCAGCTGATCAGCTGACCTGATTGATCAACAAAGATTAAAAAGAAAATTGTGGCTATGTTGCATAATAACATAACTGATTAGAGGAGAACTCTAGCAAAGCCCCTGAGTGGTGGAAGCTCTTTGGAGCTGCGCTCACCCAACCGAGGACCATTTTTAGAACAGGAAAATGTCACAATGTTTCTGTGGAAAAGCAGCTCCAAGTGACTTACTCTGAGGCCTGAAACCTTCCTTTTGGAAAAAAAAAATTGACTTAGATAATTGAGCAACACAAGAGAGAAAAAAAGTGCTGACATAATGTTCCTATGTCTTGCAGAAACCCCTTTGCAGAGACCATGCAAAGCTGAAACATGTCAGTGCCTCTTACTTTGTATTCAGGCTTTCCAAGCAGCAAACAAGATAGATTATAAAGCGAGGCCAGAAGAGCGATGCTTCCTGTATATTCAGTTACCTTGTGAAGTTAGATGCTCAGGAAGTGATAGTTTACTGAATTAAAGTGATGCCGTATTTTAAACACCGCCGTTTTGAGCTCCTCTCCAGCACTCCCTTCTTCTCCTGGCGGGCAGCGGATGAGTGTCCTGTCCCTCCTGTTTTTATAAGGCTCGGTGCAAGCAGAGCCCACTGGAGGTGTCAGGTGACTCCACCAAGGAAAGTTCTAGACCCTTGTTTCTGCTCACTGGCAAGATTTCCTTGAATGAAAGCCGGCTATTATTATCTCGGCACAAATTTTCTAACTAAATAAGATTAAAACTGGAAAGAGGTACATTTGTAGAACTTTGGAAAGTTGCAACGACTTAACTGTTTGACGACAAGACAGGAAATATTTAAAAGAAAACTAACGTTACTCACGTGCTTTACTGCACGTGCAAGTGGTTAAATGAATGATACGCAGTGTTGCAAATTTAATTTTTTCAAATGTTTTTACATCTCTTGTTAGTAATTTCAAACAAAAATTGGCAACACATCAAGCAACACACAGTGACAATTTGTGGAAAACATTACAGGAGACATTTTCAAGCCAAAGTTACATAAAGTTGTATATCTCCTGAGGTTATGCTTCTTTATGTAAGCTAATTATTTTTGCACTGTTTTTCCTAACCAACTCCAAATTTGGCCAAAATGACAAAGTTTTACGAGTTTAAATGATAGACAAACCTAATGTAACTTAATGTATAATTTCTAAATGGAAGACATAGGACATGTTTTCAAAAGTTTTTTAAAATCTGAAATGTGGTATGCATTTGAATTTAGCCAACCTCAACATTATAAAATGTTATATTCTGCCACATATTTTCAATTGGATTAAAGTTTTCTCTTTTACTGAGCCATCGAGTAATAACATCTTTTGTCGATATTGATCTGGGTTTAGTTTCATTGTCCTGCTAAAAACGAACCTCCACCACAGGCTCACGTGGTTTACAGTCTCAAACATGTTTTCCTCCAGAATGACCCTGTTTTTAGCTCTGTTTTTCCTTTAGTTGGGTCCAATTGATACTGCATATTTGCAGTAGGATTCATGTGTTAGGGCTTTGGGCACTAACACATTATTGGAAGTGATTATCCAATAAACTTCTCCACAACTTCATCCCTGCTCTGTCTGGTTTGTTCCTTCATCTTCACAGTGTTGCTTGTTCACTAATGTTCATCAACACATAATTGAGGCTTTACAGGATCAGCTGTTGTATACTTAGATTAAATTACACATACTCAATCTGCTGTTTTTTTGTTGTTTTTTTAATTGAGTTATGATACATGTTTGCTTGTGAAAAGGATTGAATACAAGCAATTGTGATGCTTTTTTTTTTTTTTTTGCAGCTATTTATAATTTGTTGACTTGGCTTTACAATTATGGACCACTTTGTGTTGCTCTCTAACATGAAAGAAACCAAACTAAAACACATCAAGGTTGCAACGTGGCAAAATGAGGGAAAAGTTTAAGGAGTGAAAGTCCTTTTGCAAGGCTCCCTCTGTAAGGCGCAGTGGGTGTGTATTTCACTTCCCTGTTACTACATGGTCTATTCTCGCTGCACTGGCCTCTCCAACACGTTCGCCATCTGGCCTTAAATATAGCCACCGTTTTTTTTGTGTTTTTTTTTTCCAGACAGCAGCTGTTGGGACAGACCACATCTACACATTGCTGATGCGGGGCTGTTGCACAACAGCACACCCCTGTTTTATAAAGTGATAATTCAAGTACAAAAGTCATAAAGCCATTAAGCTTAGTTTTTAATTCTGTTAACATTTGTAAACACGATCACTTACAACAGTTGTAGAATAACTTTCAATAAATACTGTACATTAATAGTAATTATGAGCAATTAAGCAGCATTGAACAAGTGTTTTTTTTGTTTAGTTTTTTGTTTTCAAAAATGTCAGAAGAAAACTGATTCTATAGCTACTGAGAAAGTTGTCACTTTAGGACAAACAAACTACGGAGTTGGTAGAAGAAGTCTTCGGGTTTGCTACTGTTTTCTCTGCAGTGCCCATTCATATAATCCCACGCACACCGCTTGCAGTAGTTGTAGAAATGACTCTCTGCTTTCTCCAAAGTGCTGTTCAGGTCCAGTTTTCCCTGAAGACTGCAAAGAAGAAAGTGTTTTAAATACACCGAAAAGACAAACATGCCCAAAATGTGTCCCACAGGAGCCGCAGGATCGAACCTGCTGGTAAACTGGATCAGCTGCACGTCGTCTTGGCACCGCAGCAGAGACTCTCTGTTATCCAGCAGGATGGCTGCACAGATGAAGAGCTCGAAGGTGAAGTCTGTGTTGAAGGTTTGCCGTGGTGACTCCGATCTGTCCTCTGGAAAAAATTGATACAGCAACGTCAGGCATTTTACGGGAGATCTTTAAGTACAGTTATTCTGCTTTTTACCCTGCGTTTCACCTATGTAGTGTTTTTGGTCCAGTCTCTCCTGATATCGAGCGCGGTCAACCTGCTGTGAGATTAGCTCCAGATGGTCACAGCTCAGGATTTCAAACAGACGCAGTGCGTCACTGTGTTCAAATTCTCTTTGAAAGCCCAGCAGCAGCCACCTTAACACAAAGAATATAAGCCAAAGATTTAAAGATACGGTTTCACGTTCAAATGAAACAACAAAGTCATTAAAACAAAATACGTGAAATGTGCTACAGATGCGCTACCTGTGGCAAAATGTAAAACTTTCCATGTTGTCTTTGACCAGATGAGCATAAAGCGGAGGGTCCAGCTCCTTCAACAGAGCAGCCTCCAGCTCTGGAAGACATTAAAGAAACATTTCCAGCTCAAGTCAAACTCATTCAAAACAAGAGACTTGATTTGAACTTTCAGATCGACATTCTGCCAGTCAGAAGCCTTTCTGTTTGGCATTGAAGGCAGACAGTAAATGCTCTCAAGGAAAATGTCATTTACTGTGTTTAACCACTAGAGGTCTCAAATGTGTTTTGCAGTTGAAATTGGGAACAAAGCATCATCACGAGATCCTGGGCACATACAAGGTTTCATAAATTCATTTTTATATTATGTGTAGCTCCACTGTGTGAAATTGAGTACGACCTTATACAGAGCCCAATATGAAAACAAAATTATATGATCATGCATTAACTAACCTGGTATAGACTATTAATACATTCTTTAAAATAATTTTTGTTTTGTGAAAATTGAGAAAGGTAGAAATCTGAATTTTCTGATAATCAGAATTCTGATATTTTCAGGGTGCAGAAAGAGGGGTTTGGTCTTGGCAGCATTCATGTAAGAAGTGCTGCTGATGAGAGCTGTGAGTGGTATATAAATTTATCAATGTGATACTTAGAGAGAGAGTCCAAATATTTTCAAGCGATTCTCCTCTGGTGTCTCCTCTTATGGTTCTCAGATGGAGGAGCAAGGCCATAGAAAAACCTATTATTCAAATAAACCTTTCTATAATTTATATTTTCCAAAAAGTGTGAGGTATATTTCTTTAAAATATCACAATGATGGTCTACAAAGGATTTATTTGATTTATTGAAGGTTTTTTGTATAACTTGTCAAAAGATAATGTGAGAATCTCTGAGAAAAAGAGTGGCTCTCTAATCAGTGTAAATCTTCCATAACAAGCATTTACATATAATCACACCTTTCTAATTAGGGTTTTAAAACGAACACATATTTACCTTCTTAAATAATTATATTAGGTTGTGTTGAGTCCGATAGGATAATGCAAAGTTGGTTGATCATAATTAGATTCTTAAATAAGATTAGCACAATCTAAAGACAACATAAAAAGATATCATCATAAGGAGGAGTCTTAATAACAACTAAAGCAAGAAATAAGTTATGTCAAAGAGAAAAAAATACTGCACGAAACAAACTAATTATGCTGGTGCTGTGACATTTACTACAAACAAAATTGCTTTTTCTTTTTGTTCGTCTCACCTATTTTTCTGTGTAAGCCGTCAGCCATGAAATCCCTGGAGAACTTCTCCATGTAGGAGGAAAAACTCCAGAAGGTGTCCACCTCAGAGTCAAGGACCTCCAGGAACCTGCTGCACAGGTCATTCATTCCCTGGGCGTAACTAACCTCTGCCGTAACAACAAGGAGACAGAAAGTTATCAGAGGAAAAATAAACGTTAGTTTGGGCTGATTCGGTTTGATTACCTGGATGAAAAGCAGCATAAGTGATGAGGATGTCTCTCAGGACCAACAGATTCCCCAAACCTTCATCTCTGCGGACAAAAACAAGTGATTTGTGGAAGTTCTGTAAAGTTTCCAATGTCTCAGTATATTAGACACAAACTATACTCCTGAAATTGCAAAAGGAATGTTTTTAGTATATTTTGTTGTTATTTATGACAATCTGCCCACAACTTTTGCCCCCCAATCTTTTTTTTTTTTTTTTTGGCAAAAATTAGGATTCTAGATGGTGGAATCATATTCTGCATAAAGATCTGCGAGAAAAGTCAGGCGTAATGAAAGGAAGGCATAGATATGCAGAAATAATTTTTTTTTAAAAATCTAGACTTTCCTGAGAAAGAGAATGCCAATTTCTTAAATCTTAATTTTACAGAAGTTTAAAATAATTAGGAAATAATGAAAATTCAAAGGCAATACCACAATTCTGCAGACTGTCTGTAATCTGCGCCCTTTGTACTTTTATCCTCAGTATTGGGCAAAGATGCTCACATTTAGGTGAAAAATCAACATCTAACTTGTCGTTGCATCATCCTGTCGAATACAAATGAAAGTTTAGGAAAATTTTAAAACTGGTAATTCTACAAAACAGCAAGAACAATTAGCAGAGGTGACAGGAAAAGGTAAACAGGCAGACTGAAGGAATATTAATAATAAACACAAAGAGGCTAAACTAGGAAAGGGAGCACTATCCAACCACAAGAATAACTGAAGAAAGCTAAATACAAAAGAAAGAACATGTACGGCAACGAAAATGATGAGAATGAGAAATATTGAGCGATAATAAATACGGAGACCTGAAAGGAATATGACTAGACCGAGAACATATGAACCACAAAGAACTTATAAGAACCCACACACACCAAATCATGACAATAAATGTCAAATTCAATAATAAAAACATCCAAATGAACTGTAATCAAAGTT